TATCTAGTTGTATGAAGATTTGTTTTACACAACTGTTTCACATAATGGTTCTGCTCTGGACTGAATGCTTGTTTTCCCCCCAAATTCATTTTGAAGCCCTAACTCCCAATGTGAGAGTACAGTAATTGGAAAAGCAGCCCCTGGGAGCTAATATGGTTTGATGAGGCCATTAGAATAGGGCCCCCATGACAAGGTTAGTGCCTGTACATGAAGGGAAAGAAACCAAAGCACTCACAAGCTCTGTCTCTTTCTTCTTCCTCTCTCTCTGTCTCTTTAACTCGGGCTATCTTGGTCTTTGTCTCTTCACTGTCTCTCTGTTCTTTATTTGTCCTTCCTCCTCTCTCTCCTGCTCTCCTCCCTGTTTCTCTATACATCTTGTCCTCCTTCTCCTCTGTCTCTCTCTCTGTGATGCCCTGCCTGTCTCTCCTCTGCCATATGAGGACACAGTGAGAAGGCAGCCTTCTGCAAGCCAGAAGAGAGCTCTCACCAAGTGTGAGAAATCAATGTCTCATTTAGGTCATCCAGTCCATAGTGTTCAGTCATAGCAGCCCAAGCTGACAGGTTCTTTCATAATATAGCAGCCCCCCACCGCCCTCTCTTTGTTCCAGAGCTTCAGTTACCCATGGTCTATAGTGGTCTGAAAACATTAAATGGAAAATTTCAGAAATAAATAATTCATGAGTTTAAAATTGCACACTGTCCTGAGCAGTGTGATGAAATCTAGTACCATCCCACTCCATCCTGCCTGGGCCGTGCTGCACACCTTTGTCCAAGTCTCCACACTGCAGACACTCCCTGCACGTGGCAGCCTTCTCAGTGTCAGACTGACTGCCACAGTTTTGCAGTGCTTGTGTTCAAGTCATCCTTATGATACTTAATGGCCCAAAGCACAAGAATGCGATTCTGATGATTCAGATATGCCTAAGAAAAGCTATAAAGTGCTGCTTTTAAGTGAAAAGTTAGGTACATACAGAGGAAAAACATAGCATATATAGGGTTTAGTGATATCTGTGGTTTCAGACATCCCCTTGGGGTCTTGGAATGTGTCCCTCGTAGATAAAGGGGGACTACTGTATATTTAAGAGTTCAGTTGGGGCTCATTTACAAGAATTTAAAGCGGAGATTTGAAGTCACTAGAGATTGAAAAGTGACCAGACATAACAATGAAACAAATCTGAAATTTAAATATAAAGCAGTGAAGGATATACTAAGAAATGGATACACATAAAACTGGTTTATTGCCAGTTATGAAAATTAGCCCAAGGCAGGAAAAGATCTGGAATGCAACCAACCCACCTCTGCTAAGACCATGCAGTTTAACTTCTTTTGCCAGATACAGTAATTCTTATAAAAGATTCTGAAAACACTGGGGACACAGTCTATAATAACTGGTGACATTATGTGGCTGCTTAAATTCAAATTAAGTAAAATTAGACGAGATGAACATTTGAGTTCCGCAGTCCACTTGGCAGGTTTCAAATGCTCAGTGGTCACGGGCTGGTGGTTGATGTACTGGACGGCATTCCTGCCACTGTAAAAGCTTCTGGGTTTTTTTTTTTTTGAATTCTTGTTTCTTCATTCTTTTCTGTTTGGTCATTTTTTTCTTCCTTCTGGTCCACTCCCTTGATTTGAGTCCCAGTTTCCTTTCCATCACAATTGGGTTCCTGTGCATTTCCCGTCATTTCAATTAATTTAGCCTTCATATGTTCCTCTAATTTGTGACTAAAATCAACCAGTTCTGTGAGCATTCTGATCACCAGTGTTTTGAACTGTGCATCTGAAAGTTTGGCTATTTCTTGGTCACTTAGAATTGTTGGCTCTGAGTTGTTCTTAAGCCATAATGTTTTGGTCTGTTCGTGCCTGTTACGTACGAGGGGTGGAAAGACCTACAACCAAGATTGCTCTATCCAGCAAAACTTTCATTTAGAATGGAAGGGCACATGAAGTGCTTCTCAGATAAGGTCAAATTCAAGGAGTTCATCATCACCAAGCCCTTATTATATGAAATGTTAAAGGGACTTATCTAAGGAAAAGAAGATAAAAAAGATGAACAGTGAAAGGACAGCAAACTCACAGTTATTAACAACCACACCTAAAACAAAAGCAAACTAAGAAGACAGCTAGATCAGGAGCAGAACCATAGAACTGAAGATCACATGGAGGGTTAGCAACAGAGAAGTAGGAAGAGGAGAAGGGGGGAGAAGGTACAGAGAATAAGTAGCATTGACGGTAGGTAGAAAATAGAAAGGGGGAGGGCAAGAATAGTATGGAAAATATAGAATCTTAAGAACTTGTGACATGTTGGCATAAACTAAAGGAGGGGAATGAAGGGGGGAAATAGGACAACTGTAATGGCATAATCAATAAAATATATTAAAAAATAAAAACAAAGGATAAACAATAATTAAATACAAAATTATATCCAACTTTCCAATTATCTAAAATAAAAGATGGACCAGCAGTGACTGGCACTGGGATGTCTCATTTTAATTTTTAAGCAATGAATATTTTTAAGTAATCTAAATTATTTTCAGTTTTAAAAAAACGGTGGTCCAGGCTGGTGTAGCTCAGTGGATTGAGCACAGGCCTGCAAACCAAAGGGTTGCTGGTTTGATTCCCAGTCAGGGCACATGCCTGGGTTGCAGGCCAGTTCCCAGCAGGGGACACACCAGAGGCAACCATACATTGATATTTCTCTCCCTTTCTCCTTCCCTTCCCCTCTAAGATAAATTGTAAAAATTTTTTTAAAAGCTTCTGTTAAACAGCTGATCTAGATAAGGAGTGTAAACGATACACACAGGCACACCTCGGAGACACTGTGGGTTCAGTTTGTACCTCCGCAGTAAGTAAATAGTTCCATAAAGTGAGTCACACACATTTTTCATTTCTCACTGCATTTAAAAGTTATATTTTATACTACACTGTAATAAATTAAGTATGCAACAACATTTCGTCTAAAAAACAATGTATGTCCCTTAATTTCAATATACTTTAACCATCATCTGAGCCTTCAGCAAGTCATGATTTTTGCTGGTAGAGTCTTATCTTCAATTTATAAAATATGCAATATCTGAGAAGCACAATTAAATGAGGTGTGTGTGTGTGTGAGTGACTGTGATAATAAGGTAATACATTAGGTTGAAATGAGATAACACATTAGGCTGAATCATCTGAATTCACAAAATTAACAGGAATGTCAGTTTCACCCCAAACAAAGGAGTTTTTGTCCTAATACTCTACACTGGTTTTAAAAAGAAATGGAAATCTACTTGAGATTCATCTGGATTAATAACTCTTTAACTGTTACCCTACAGCCCTGCCTCAGTGTAGGAATTAGCAAACTTTAGTTGGTTCAATGCATGTCACCCAAATAAATCACCACTTAGTAGGATCCCTAAGCAGTAATTTTTCTCCCAAAGTAACTTCTCCTAAAGAAATTTTTAATAACTGTATTATTGATCTTGCTGTGAAAAGAACTCTGGTCTAGCACTTCCTTGCTGTGTGAGTTTTGTTACATTACTCACCTCTGAGCCCCCTCTTCCTCATGTAATAAACAGGGACACAACTACCTCTCTCTTCTCAGCTCACCACTCTCTACCTTGGGTCCTGTGTTCTACACACCCTCGTGTTTCTCGAGTCTTCAGTGCACAGAGCCTTCTCCAACACAAGGGGGCTTTTCTCTGCTGTTCCCCACATTTAGAGCTTGGCCCACAGTGCTCCACCCACCACCCTCACACGCGCTGTGCCTGCCTCACTCCTACTGTGCAGCTTTCAGGCCTTCGCTCAAATGCCACTTCCTCCTAAAGCCACCCTTGAGGCCTGTCTGAGTCAGATTCCTGTTATCTGCTCTCTTAGATCTTTGTACCACTTGCTCAGAGTATGTACAATCTCGCTTCCAACAAGCAGTCCTCTAGAAAAATATATTAGTAAAAATCAACTCAACTTCCATATTATACTGATATAACTCCTATGATGTAATAGTTGTTATAGAAATAAATTTTATTGATGAGTGTATATAGTTCCCTCTACCTTCTTTTCCTATAACCTGAAAAAAGCCATCCTGTGTAGCTACTGTGAGCAGTAAGTGTCTTTGATCATTCCTGACCAATGAATCAACTATAGGAAATCCTCAACCTACAAATAAGGCATGTTTGCATTGCTTATTTCTAAGATACTTTTCTGACCATCACTATGCTCCAAAGTTTATGAAACTGCATTATATAATGTGCAAGCCATTAGATAATACAAGTTAGCATTTACTGAAAACAGACTGTATGCCAGCCACGGGCTGAGCCCTTTCCACATCTGCATCAGTCCTAACAAATGTGCTTTGAGATGAATTCTATTCTTAGCCTCATTTTAGAGTTGAAGAAATAAAAGGTGAAAGAGGTCAATCATTTGCCAGAGGTCACATAACCAGTTTGAAGAGTGAAACAACAAAAATAAGTGAGAACAGGTTTGCAGTTCAGCTGGAGCACTGGCATTTGAAGATAAGGACCTACACCCTTCACTAAAGACCTCATGGCTCTTGTGTGAACCTCCTCCTCCCCCACATGCAAACTGGCCATGTAAATCCTCAGGCCCATCCACCAGAACTGCCATCTCCGTAGGACACAGAGGTCTCCTACAGAAACCCCAAGTCAGCTTCCCAGCAGCGCCCCACACCTCCCCACTTCAGTCCTTATCTCAAATGGCCCACAGACACCAACAGAGCCTAAGCCCGGGGGGAAAAGGCGAGGGCAGCAAATCACCCTCTGAGTTGGTAATTCAGACCTGCCCCTTAATTATGTTATGGACAGCTGAAGGGCTTCCGGTCAGCTCTGCTCATCTGTACTGGTATGTGTGTTAGTATTTCCAGGACCTAAATCTTTCTATGGACATTTTTACATTGAAGCCAAATTTAGAAATAGTACTGGTTGATCCCATTTACCAACTCCTAAGTCAAATACAGAGAACATATGCAAGTTTACCAAACAGCAACTGAGAACAATGGAGCTTACTTGTATAAACTGATGGTTGGTTCCACAGCCAACATAACGAAAGGCGCCACTGTGTACGAGACGGCCAGCTGCGTGGCAGCCCAGGTGACCACGTCGTAGACGACCTTGAGGGCTTTTGAAGAAAGGAAGTAATGTCTATAGTTGCTCCTCACCTACAAACCAAGGAAGGCAAAGGGGAGGGTAAAACGTGAAAAACAACTTCTACTCTGTGCAGGCAGGTATACTTCATGAACACAAAGGATTGAAACCACCTCAGTTCTATTTTCAACTAAAATAGTACCATCAAGGTTTTTCTTGTTGTGAAAAAATACATGCTCACTGTAGAAAATTAAGGTTTTTCTTGTTGTGAAAAAATACATGCTCACTGTAGAAAATTAAAAGAACTAAGCAAAAACAACTTTCTTTTTTAACATCTCCCAGAGAAAAAGCACTGTTTACAAATTAGGCACATATCCTTCCAAGGCTTATTTTATTCACAGATACCCACACTTCCATTTTCAATGGCATCGATCTATTTTTAGTCTGTTTTTTCATTTAGTTAATATGTCATGAGTTTTTTTCCCCACATCACTAAGTATTAACCCAAAATGTAATTTTAAATTATTTATGGAAGTGTTAGCTTGTCTGCCACCCCTGCTACAGCAAACAACTGTGATACTACCGTGGTAGATGAATCTCTGCACTGTTTCCTAATTTTCTTTGAAGAACAGCAATAAAATAATAGTACCATTAACAGTGATGAGAGCAGCCGCCATTTTTTGGTGCTCACCGCTTGCCAAGCCTGTGCTGATGCTCTGCCTGTATCACGTCTGTTGATTCTCCCAACAAGGCTGTCACGTGAGCAGCATTATGCTCATTTGACAGACAAGGAAACTGAGACTCTCTGAAGTGGAAAATGCTGGGTCAAAGGGTATATTCATTTGTAGGTCTTCTGACACATGTGACTAAATTTGTCTCTGGAAAGACACCTAATTTCCAGATCTAAGAAGCAAAGGCAGAGCTGAAACACACTGGCTTGTAGGTAGGTCAGCCTTTACAGTGGGAAAGGCCTCCCAGGGCTGCCAAGGAAGCTGACTCCTCTCCTCATTGGGACAGAAGCTGCAGGTCCACCCACGGAGGGGGCGGGGCCGCACGGGCAATGTTGGAAAGGACGTAGGAGATTCTATTAGGTGACTGCTCGGGTCTAAGACACTTCATGACTGCTTGATTTCATTGGGGAAAAAAATGGAAATACCATTCTATTAACCCTCTCCTCTCCATCCCTACCTTACTAATTTGTGAAAAATGTTTCCAAGCCACCCAGAAATGCTTTACTTAAATCAGTGCCGTTGGGACAGTTGAGATCAACTAAACCACAGATATTATAAGAAATATTCTCAGTATATTCTTGATAACAAACCAAACCCTAGCTTTTGTTTCTTATGTTGTAACCTCTGTTTCTCAGTTTTCTTTCATAATTCAAGTAGGTATATAACTGGAGAAAAAATGTCCTCCCTGTTTCCTATGCACAAATAGGTACATACACAGTTTATTTCTGAAGTGTGCTAATCAGTATGAATAGCAATCAATTATCCAATGCGGGGAAGGGATTTCAGGAACAACTAGAAAGGACACATGGACAAAACCAATGGCGGGGGTTGGAAACAGGGGAGGGTGAATACAGACAACTGTACTTGAACAACAGTAAAATAATTTTTTTACTCTAAAATAAATTATCCACCTTGTTTACAGATACATTCCAACACACCTTCATCTAACTAAACAAAGTTCCATGGTGGGGGGGTCTCTTGTCTTATTTACTATGGTTGCCTGGCATCTAGGACCCTGACTACACATAGTAGAACTCCCTCCTGACACACTCAGAGAACAGATAAGTGAATAGCTATGCTGGGGCTCCAACATCCATATCCAAAATGCAGTTCAACAAATGTCATTAAAAGCTGTTGACATCTGAGTAAGAAAGGTCAAAATCATTATCAAAGACTGAATAAAATCAAATACAAAATTCTGTATTTGACAATTAGAGTACATTGAATTGTAATTACTTGTATATAAACCCATCTCATTCTTTAAGTGAAGGCATATTTTTTATTCTTTTCTTTTCCTGCGCTACAGCCAGGAACAGTCTAGAACAAATTGCCCAAAAAACCTGGAGAACCAGACTTATAAAACTCAGAAAGGATTTCACACAAACGAATTTAATTGAATCAGATATGAGAGGTTAGAGTGATCTGACAGAACGCAGTTCCTGTGGCTGCAATTTTACCAGCTACTCAGAGGGTCTGAATTATTTCTAGGCTTAGGATAATGAAATAAGAAATGAAGTTTAAGTAAAACAAAGGCTTACAAAGCCTACATTAATTACCAATCACTGTCACGTTTGATTAGTAAATTGCATACCTTCACAGCCTTTAATGATTAAAAATGTTTTCATCTCTTAAGTTACTAAACATTGGTCCTAAAATTCCTTTTGTTTTGCAAACACCTTCTGTAAATATTATGAAGATAAAATGGTTAACCATTTTACGGCCACAAGTTCCTATATACTGAAGTATTTCTCTAATGGGAAGACTTCTGTTTAATTCTTCAAAACATCATTCCTACCCCTCATCCCCTGTCTCCCACTAGGACTACATGACAACAAACATGCAGGCATCCGATCACTGAGGAAAAGACTCCATGACCAAAGCAAGCTTACCGTTCTGGCTGCTACTGTGACGAGGATTCCAGTCAGGAAGGTGAAATAGTACCCCGGGTAGACACCATGCCACAGGGCAGACAGGATGAAGGTGAACACTGTGGGGTACCAGGGGACTCGCTCATAGCACACTCTGTAAAGGGAGGCAGGTGTGATGAGCCACGGGTCAAGCACACCAGGAATTTCCAGCTACCCTGGCATCTCTCTGAGTCAGACCCTCAGAAATCACGTGCTGCATTCCTGATGGCCTGCCTCACCCATTCGGGGTCTTGCAGTGCAACCCACACAGCCTGAACTCCAGTTCTCTTGAACACCACCAGATAGGCAATTCACAATCAGTAGTTTGAGAAGTGGAAACTTTTAATGTGCACAAAATGTGCACATTAAATGGCCTGGACGCCATCACCCTATAGCTAGTAAAAATCCAGGGCTCAGTCTCTGCCCAGCTCTTTCCACCAGTGGCCTAAGCCACCAGGAATAATTTTGGGTAAGTAAGGCCATTGGCACCAACAATTTTGGAATCAGGATAAGGGTCTTTAGAAGTGGATATTTTCATTTAGTCAAAATTAATTTACATTTTCAACCTAGTCCCGGTGCCATCTAACGAATCAACTCTGTGACCCTCTCCATCACTTCTGGCATGACTCCAGCATATCAGTGTGTCGGCTGTTATGGAGGGATATTATGTGCATCTAGAAACTGTCAGCAAAATACCCTGGAGATCCCTGGCTTTGCTGTTGATTAGTAAAACAAAGTGACAGGGGAGTTTCCCCAAATGGAGCCTAGGATTGCCGTGGCACTGTAAGGAAGTGCTACGCGGTTTACTAAAAGGCAGGACCCAAACAGAAAATAAACTAGAAACACAGTCAACACCAACCCTGCACTTAAACCCCAAGTAAGGAGTATGGCTCCCCCCACATAGGAAGAGAATGCATTTGGGGGGAAAAACAAAGGACTGCGACCCCATTTGCAATGTTCCTTTTAAAATGAGACCTAGTTTGCATATGCACTTGTTACTTACCCTCTGTATCTTTTTTTATAAATCAAATATTTCATTTTCCAAAATGTTTTTTTTATGTGCACATATATATGTTCAAATCATCTTAGAAGTCTGAATAGAGACTGTAGGACTCTTGGTACATTGGGATCACTCAAAATATACAAAGAGGGATTTATGCTAAAATTATTTGCAAAATTAACAGCAAATTTCTAAAAACTGCATGTTCAGATCAATTTTCAGACAGCACCGTATGAGCTCACTTGTCTCTTCTTTTACCCTAATTTCCACCTAAGAAAAAGGCTACTTGTCGAAAACAGAATCTAAAGGTCAGTATTTTTATGCTCTCCCTGCACTTATATGACAGGAATATTCACTAGCTGGAGTCTCAAAGACAGCATATTATTTCCAGGTAGCATATTATCAGTTCCGCACTACGTAATGTTTCTAATTGTGGAATGTGCAGGGAAACAGAAGTATCAACAAAAATGCAAAGCGTTAGAAGCATAAACACCTAAGGGGAGCTTTTAATGCTAGGGGTAAACGCAGTGACCTTCGGGGACGGGAGGCTGACAGCCGCCCTCTCAGGGGGCTGATCCGCAGACTCTCCTCTGGGGTAGAGGCAGGGCAGCCTGGGGGCGAGGAGCCGGCTCCACAGATCCTCTGCTTGGCCTCTCATCCTTTCCTCGTGAGTTGTATGGCTTTGGGCAAGTTACACAGTCTGACTCTGCTCTTCTGCAAAGTGAGGATAATAACTACCAACATCTTATAGGGTTGATATGAGGATTAAATGAGTGTCTGGTGGAATGGCAGAATTACCTGTTTGACACATTAAAAGCAATATTCTATATTGTGACCTCAAGTCACTATATTTCTACTTTTTCACATGCAGGGCATAAATGTTCATACCAAACAACAGTGACCAGTGACACTACTACTGGCAGACTACTCTGTTCAGCCAACACCTCCCATCGAAACACACCCCAGCGCCACGCGTAATGAGGTCACTTCTTACCGCTTTAGCCAAGTAGCTGTCTGAATATTCCAGTTTCCTAGGTACATTTTGAAACTTGTAGCAGTCTAGAAAGAAGAAAATAACACCTAACATTCGCTTTAAAAATACCCCAAGTAATGGAAACTCCTCCCCAGAATTTCCCTGGCAGCAGATTCGATGTGCTATTTCAATAGAGACTCCTCAGTCAGGAGTATATCAGCTGTTCCACCGAGTGCAGTCAAATGCTGATGTTTATAAGATTAACTAAAACTTGGCTTGCGAAGTCTCAATTTTTCTCAATTTATTTTCAAATTATAGGAAAACTGAAAGAATGTTTTGTGGGTTTTCCTTCCTCTCTGGTTTAAAAAAAATTGTTTAAGTCATCTGAATTTTAAAACTCAATACCCTAAGAGGGGATGTGTCATAGGAAATTTATTGCCTTTATGGAGACAACTTGAATTTAATTGTCATCGTTTCACTATGTGGCCATCTATAAACTAGGTCAGTCTCGTGAAGTTCTTCTACAAACAGCTGCATATGTTCAAATGCTTCCTATTGTATCTAGAACAGTAAGATTTTATGTATGAAGGAATCACAATACAGAAAAGAAAACAAAGAAATATCACCAAACTGGCAATGGCACAAGTAAATTAATCACTGAGGAAGACACATTCCAAAATAAGCCCTCAGTCAACTAGGTGTCCTCATTCAAAATTAAATGAAGTAATTAAATGCCTTATTACAGACTGGTGGTCGAAAGCATGAAACATACATTCAAGAACCGGAATGCCTAATGAGGGTGGAAAGTACAAGCGCCACTTTTTTTTCTGTTTCAACCACAAGGAAATCTGAGCTAGGTCACACACTGCACTCATGTAATATGTTTGGAAAGAAGAGAGATCATCGCTAGATATATACTGACAGATTCTGTATCATGAGTTTGTATTTCAAAACCCTAAGGAGTCCTATCTATCCATCTCTTCTATGGCCAACAAAACGTTATACACACAGCATCAAGGAACCTTAACTAAACTGGACTTCCTTAGTTTTCTTCAGCTCCTTGCTCTATATCGACTCGATTAAAATTACAAACTTTCCCCTGGCTGGTGTAGCTCAATGGAGTGAGTGCGGGCCTGTGAAGCAAAGGGTCACCAGTTCAATTCCCAGTCAGGGCACATGCCTGGGTTGCAGGCCAGGTCCCCAGTAGGGGACACATGAGAGGCAACCACACATTGATGTTTCTCTCTCACTTTCTCTTCCTAATCCCTCTCTCTAAAAATAAAAATATTTAAAAAAAAATACAAACTTTCTCCTTGTTTCCCTTTATAATGAATACATAACCTGATAAGTTGGCCCTTTCCCCAAACACACCCCCCCCAGTGAAGTGGCTCTGTCCTTTGGTACACAGCTGAGGAGACTGGGGAGCCATTATAAAGGACATTTACCCACAGCAGTGGTCCAAGAGTATTGAGAGAAAAATTTTAGTACAAAAGGGAAGGAAAGCCATAACACATTTGTACCCTCTCTGACATCATCTGTATAGAAAAGAGGAACCTGTCAATTATCTACACTGTTTTTCCAAAAATGAGAAAAGTTGATCTGGAGGCTAGAACTTGTCCATTTAAGATGAAGAGAAGCCTCAGGCATCAAGTAAGTGGAGGGTATCCACTGTAGTGTCCACCTAACATGGGTAGCAGATGGTCGGTCAGTCCCTGCACCCCTTGGCTTCTTGCTCTCTATGCATATCCCCTTCTGCCCAGATTCTCCAGTGGCACTCAGCCTCCCTGTGATGGGTGGAAAACTCCAGCCAATCCAAACACGAGTCACCTGGCTGCACAGCCAACACTGTGTATGCTGAGGACCATGCCCTTACTCCTAACCTCGTGGCCCCAAGGAGACCATCTGTAGCGATGAAGACATATGGAGAACTGTGTCCTAGGACAAAGCCAGCTAAAGAAAAGAAAAACCACACACTTTCCAGTGGCCTAAAAGCTGTGTGCCATGACCATTCTTCATAAACACAAATGAATTGTCAGTGTTGCAAAGGAAACACAGAGAGCACTTGCAACACTGAAATCTAAATGCAGACACTTCCAATCTATGTTCTCGACTGAAGAAGGTAGAAGATGAACAAGAGAAAATGGCTTCTGTAATTTCGAGTAGAAAGAACAGGAAAGTAAATAGCAAAAAGATTTTTCCTGGTTCCTTTTCAGATTATTTTTGTGTTGTTATTCCTTGAAACATTAAAACTATCACATAGTATCTTTTAAAAAGAGAAAAGCAAGGAGGAAGAACTTCTGAGACACAAGATGTGCAGGAGCTGCTGGACCTGCCTATTCTGAGAGCAGCTTTTCCTCGGGCACCGCACTCACTGCAAACCACTGCTTTACTCACTGTGGCAGCTTCATTCAGAAGCATGACAGACTCACCTCAATTTTCCAGATGTTTAGGTTAGAAAGCAGATCCCAAGAGAAATTTCCATTCTTATCCACTCCGCTGAACCCAAAGCCAGCTGCATTATTCACTGCATCAGCTATGGTTTTTAAAACAACACATTAGGATATGGAACAAAAGTCACATTGCCACTTTAAAATTTAGATACCAATGCCTGTCCAGCTTTAAGACTGAGAGGGATGCAGCAGTTTCCTCGGAAAGGAAACCCCCCAAATTTAAAGGAATCTGTGAGTTCCTTTACCACTGTGAATCTGAGAAACAGTTTTGGCTTTTTGTTGACCTCAATTTTTATTCACTCATTTTTATCCACTCACTAGCCTTTAGTGAGCACCTGCTAAGTGAGAAGAGAAGCACTAGGTGCTCACAGAATGCAACATGAGAAAAGGACAGAAAGGAAGAATCAAAGCAGCAAAGAGGATTTCGTGACCAGCGTGATATAAGAGGACAAAGGGAAAAAGGTGAAAGTGCACGTGAGCTCAGAAGCAGAGACCAGAAGGAACAAGAGGCCCAGCTGAGGTCCAAGAGCTGCCATCACAGGTGGCACGACCTGAACTGGGGAGACAGCATTAAGCCAGGAGAGGGAGCTCTGAAGAGCAATGGGAGTTCGTTCTGAATATATTAAGCACGACGTGCCAGTTGTGTTATCAGTTGGACCTGCCAAGGTGCAATTTGTAAAGTTCGGAATACGAGAAAAAGGAGAGAGCTAGAGACATGAATGGGCGGCCAGCTGCCATAGAAGGCCCGTGTGGACACAGTACCAACGCTGTCCTACCCATCAGGTCATCCCGAAAGCCCCTGCTACCATATCTATTTGATGTCGCTTAACTCTAAGAAAATGTCCCCCTGCAGTGAGTACACATTTCTAATCAACCCCCTAATGAAATGTTTTTATAAACAAATAGAGACTTGAGGAAATCAATATACTTTTACTCTGATAACCAAGAGAATAGTTTTCTCCTTTTATCTTAAGTTCATTAATTATTTTTTACCACATGTCTGTCTAGCTGTAGTAAAGAAAATACTGTAATAAAACTAATCAGATCACAGCACAGTAAAGACTTAGATCTAGAGAAATCTTCCTCTCGCTTAGATCTTAGCGAAATCTTCCTCTCCTGTAGCTCTATTCCTCCTGCTTCTAGAATTCAAGCCCAACTCAAGATGGACTTTGGAAGGGCTCCTCTAAAGAAAAACAGCCTGTTCTGTTTGTCTCCTTCAGTTTTGGCATAATTGATGATTTAACGTTGCTCATCTTACTCTTGGCTTCACTGTAAAATTATCTGCTTTCTTTTAGAAGAAAAGGTGAAAAGTGCTGAGTCTTGCTATGTCATTCTCCCAAGCCAACTGGATGGAAGCTCAGTGGAAAGGAAAAACAAAGCAAGAGTGTGCCAGTTAAGCAACTAATAGTTCTAGCCCTGGCTGGTGTGGCTCAGTGAGCACTGGCCTGTGAATCAAAGGGTCCCTGGTTCAATTCTCAGGGTTCATGCCTGGGTTGCAGGCCGGGTCCCGGGTTGGGAGTATGCAAGAGGCAACCTCACACTGATGTTCCTCCCCCTCCTTTCCCCTCTCTCTCTAAGAATACACAAATAAAATCTTTAAAAAGAGAGAGAAAGCCCTGGCTGGTGTAGCTCATGATCCCGACAAATGGTCCCAGCCCGAACCCAGCCGGTCCCCTCCTTCTAAAAAAAAAAAAAAAAAAAAGAGAGAGAAACTAATAGTTTTAAATGTGTGAGCACAAATTTGTGACTTACAGGAGATAAACTACACCAGGAGAAGAAGGGCCCTTGACATCGGTGTTGACAACCAAACACAGGGCTGGGCTGACCGCGCTGGGCCCGGCCCAGCAATCCCCGAGTTCCTTCTCCAACTCCTGCCTCAGATCTGGCCAGTGCACACACACACACTTGCTGTCTTTCAGGTTCTATACATTACTTTCCATTCTCATTTAGTGCTCCGGGTGGGCTCTGAAGGCAGATCCCCTGGGTTCCTGTCGCCACTCCAGCAGCAGAGTTAAACACATGGCCCTGGGAGGGTTGTCTAACGTCGGGAGGCCTGTTCTCTTGAACATGAAACGGCTGTAATGATGGCACCTATTTTAGAGGGACGTGGAAAGGATTCAAACAGCACAGCCCTGGCCACCACGCGGCTGTGGGTCAGAGTCCCCAGGGCACCTACGGGAGGCGACAGATCAATGTCCATCTGTCTGTCTCCACCCACCCTTCCTCTCTCCCTCAAATCAATTTTAAAAAACAGTCCAAAATTGCCTTTACTTATATTGTGTATGGCTCTAACATATTATTACAGATAAATTAATTTAAGCACGTATATTTTAGTTCGTGATTTTAGAACACCACCTGGACTAAAGTTCAGTGTCACTAATTATGACTAATTAGTAGGGAAAAAACAACCAGAATTGTACACTAGGTCCAAAGGAAAGAGCTGTATTATTTCAGTCTAAACAGTAACTAGAACGAGGCTAACACAGTGTAGCTCAGCCGAGATTCATCAAGAGGCCAGCTTTAGGGATCAAATTTATAATCACATACAATTAGTACATCAATTATATGTAAATGGAGTTTTAAGCAGCTGAATAAAAACAATTATTCAGTTAAGTAGTTTAAATATTCCCTGGTATACTATTCACTGCTTCGTTATTCATAAATACTACGCAGGTTAATTGCAGACCAGCCAGCCCATGCAATCTAAACTGTAACAAACTTCAAAACAAGGCCATACAAATTAATGAAGTGTTTCTATGGAAGCTACCAAAAAAAAAGATAAAAGGAAAAAAAGAAAAGAGCAAAGTCCACAGAGAAAGGGATCCACAAAAGGAGTTACTTCTGTAGTCCAAACGGCTGGGGAACACCCCAAAGAGCAGGACCACGCCAGACACCCCCACTCCCTATAACCCCTCCCCACTCAGACCCCACAAGCACAACCCTCCTCGTATTAGACTTTCCCTGTACGGCCATGGAATGGCCTTCTTTCCTCCTTAAATCAGGAGCTGATTTAGTCCACAAGCCAGCCCCTAAACCCTGGACACACAATACGGGAGTGGAAGGGTGGGGAGAGAGGGAGAGAAAAGGGGGTAAGGGAAGAAGTGTAAGGCAGTAAAGGGAGTGAGAGATTCTCTCAACCTCACACACACTCTCTCTCATGTTAGAGCAAAGTGAAAACACTATTTCACACAGAAAAACAGCTTGGTGTCCCAAGTAGGTCCAACCATAGTTAAGTATAATGCCTACATACTAAGGAAATTGTCTTTAAATAATAAAGCAACTGCAGGAAAAGGAGTAAGATACAAGGGGGCTTCCCCGATGACCAGGCCACGTTTGTCACCTCCCCTGGGGACAGCCCGTGGTGGGCCGTGCCGCTGGAGTGCGTGTCTATGTTCCCATGGAGGGTGGCAATCTCGAGTGCAGAGGAGGAGACGTCCTACTTTTGAACGCCTTACAGCACAGAACCTGGCACTCCACAGAAGCTCCTTGAATTAAACTGAATGTGACAAGAGACACAATTTCCTATACTGAAAAAATTTTTCAAGCTCTAAGTCAGATCTCTCTGGCTAAATGTTGCATAAATACTACTTTGGACCAAACTCATCCCTGAACAATTTGACCCTTAAAAACAATTTGGACCCAGAGCTGGGGAGAGGCTGGAATGGGGCATTATTTCTTTGCTGAGTGGATGCGGGGTTGCTGTTGGGTGGGGTGGAGGTGGCAATGGCCGCATGACCAGGCAAGTGAACTCAGTGCCTCTGAGATGTGCACTCGGACAGTGGTTAAAATGGTAAGTCTTATGTTAGGTAAACTTTTACCACAATAAAAAATAATTTAGTAGCTACACACTTTAATTTGGGGCTGAAACCTTGGAGCATCAAATGAGAAAAAAGGAACTCCATAAGTGCTTTGCCCTCACTCATGAAATATGGGCTAAGCACTGGGGTCCGAGTTTAATAATCTGCACAGCTTCGTACACGGTCACTGCTCCGCGCCTAATCAAACTCCTGTACCGATCTTGGGGGTAAGCAAGTAGAAGGGTTTATTGCTCACTTCAGCAAAGCTTTACACTTTCCCAGTCTAAATTGTTTGAAATGAGATAAAACTTAATATTGACTAAGTTACCTCACAAAGGGGAAAAAAGTGCATAAAAACCAAATTAAGTTGAACTTTCTACCTTAAAAAAAATCACTTGAAGTCGGCTTCTTTCAAAGACATCAAGCTTAACCAACAATTTCTTTACAAGTGTAACCTACATTAGCACGTATTGGTAAAATTAATGTGCATGCTGTATTTTGTATAACCAAGAAAAATTACAAGACAGCCAGATCATTCTGGACGTTCTCCCTAACTTTCCACCACACTAAATGGCTGTATGACTGGTGGAAGAAGCTTCCAAGCCTGGACATCTGTTAATAACATTGGGCTTAAACAGCCGCTGGGATTGCTTTTTTCCTTATCATGGAGTGTGCGGATGGCCGGGAAGGGGAGTCCTTCACTGGAGGGTAAAAAATGACCCTGGCTCAACTGCTTTCCACTAGGTATTGGACTGTTTTTGGCTTGGTGATCCAAAGTGACGTTCTGGCTAAGCTGCCCAGGGAGTATCATTTTTTCCTCATTCATTTACAGCCACTCCAACACACTTACCTAATGTCCAGGCAAAATAATACTTGGGCTTTGAGGCTTGCATGACAACATACAAGTAGCACAATCGAGTCAGAAAGTTTGCTTTATGAACAAACCAGTCATCAACCAGGCAGGTGACAGGGAAGGTCTTCGTGAGAGTCAAAAACAAAAGGAGAGACACCAAGGTCATGCACAACTTGCGTATCACAGCTCCCTGAAATTAGGGGGAAAAGATCAGTGGAACTACTCAGAAGACTTCTGCATGAGGACGACAATTCTGGCAAGGGCACATGCTGTTCTAATAGCTGCTCCGGCCACCATCCCTACAAGGAGTGGCAACAGGCATTCTTCCTCACGGCACAAATGGCAGGATGGGCACAGATGTTCTATTTAGATGCAGGACATACTTCTGACGCTTGCAGGCTGAATGTATCGAAAATGGAAGAAAATTTTCACCAGCCAATTCTACCAACAAAGATAGATGATTTCATTACCCAGCCCATAAGAGAAACACATATGATGGAGTGGCAGCCTTCCATCAGAGAGACAGAACTGTTGCCTTCCACTTCTGTAGCCAGCAGAGCCAAGGAAACAGGTCTGAAATGCCAGCAGGGAGGCTAGGGCTTCGTCAGGAAGGATTCTGTGCATGGAGATTAAATGCCTGTGCCAGGACACGGCAGATAACAGAAAGCTTTAACAACTTTCCAGGATGGATAAATGCAGTCTGCTCGGGGCTTAAGATGTACGGACATTTTAAATCCCTCTGGATAGAGTGATTTTTCCCAGTTTCCCTGGTATTCCAGGGAATGCCATTTAATATAGTTCCCAACTTTAGAAAAACAGTCCGTGTTACAGACTTTTATCTGTAACACAGGGGTAGCAACAGTACCACCCCCAGAGGGTAGGCTGGGGTTTAAGTGATGCACATAAGGAACCAAGAACAGTGTCTGGCTCCCACCTGAATGCTCACCATGCTTAGCCAGTGGTCGGGCAGTGGGCAGCCCCTTCCCACCAAATGCAACCGCCCCATGTGTTCTGGGCACGAAAATGCAAGAATCTTCTTGGAGCATGAGGTTAATGAAGACTCAGCGATAATATTATTTTCTAAATAAAAGCATGAGGAACACCAAAGCACTACTGTGACAGACACTGTGGGGACACACCTACGGTCACTCTGGTGACTCATAGCCATGGTGACCTCACCCCAAGACTGTTCCAGTTATGAGTTGGAGTGGAGACATCTGGCTAACAACAAGGTGCTACGGAGCCAGTTGTGTCAAGACCATTGAAAATTCATGCTTAATGCACAAATCACTTAAAAGTTCAAATACTTCATTCCACCTAAACCTTAGCATTTATGAAATATTTAAATTGCCCTCAACTTCTCCTTATCTAATGTTCCCCACCCCTTCAATTAATGAAAAATTTCCCTTAAACATAGGATATTTTATCTGAAGGAGCTTAGCTTATTTGTAAAGTTTGATAACTTTTCCTTCTGTAGAGTAATTTGACATTAATAAAATTCAAATTCAAATTCAAATATTATTTTAAAAAACCACCTTAAACTCTCTCAAAGTCAGTACAACCAAGCTTTGGGGAGTGTGAAACTGGTTTCCCTGGCAACACGCAGGCTCTGCAATATAACCATTTACTCTGGTCCCCACTTCCTCTCCCTCCACCTTTTCCTGACATATTATCCTTCAGCTGTGTATTAATTTCTATTCATGAAGACAGGACGCCCATATATTTGAATGTGTTACCCAGTACAGTGCCGAGCCCATGGCGGGCACTAAATACTGGCTGCCTAACCCATGGATGGATTGCTTTAATATTCTCAGCCAGTGGGCTCCTCTGTGAAATAAACATCTGTTTCTCCAACACAGAGAACCAAAAATAAATACCAATATTGGTATTTTAAGCAAATGGAGGGAAAAGTTATTGGCCAAACTTACCGATAAACTGTTCAGCTTTTCAATTAGAACAGTTATTAGTGACAGTCTGCTCTGGCAACAAAACTCTACATTCTGACCTCTGGGTAAACACTTGGCACTAAAAACTTACAGTGGGAGAAGGTTCTGGCAGGCTGTGGTAACCTTTTTCCTTCCAGTTCACTTCCAGCAACTTCATGTGTACATGCCTCCCCTCAATGAAGGCTACGTAGTCCTTGAAATTGTTACAAGGTCCAGCTATGACGCTCATGAAGTTCAGAAGGTAGCTTAAGTATTCCAAAAAGGATGGTTTTACTCTGGGAAAATAAAGAAGTGGAAAGGCCTTCAGTCCTTATTTTTTTCATATTTGTAAATAATCACATCATAAACACAGGTGTTATCTTTATAGTTTAATAAACATAACAGGATCTTTCCTTTGTTCTATTTCTCTAAAAATCCACCTAAGAGATAAATCTTGTAGAAGTTAGCGAGGTGAGTGGCTCAGAGAAAATGCAGCGCTCTGTGGCGCCCTCTGCTGACCACTACTATAAACACGGAGGGTGGGGTTTAGGGCAAAGGTTAGTGGGAAATGCTTTCTCACTAACCTTAGCCCTCTACAGGAGAAAATGAAGGTAATAAACATAAGGCAGTCAGGAGAATCAGCTCTACTGTTAGTTGACTGAGATGCTTTGAAATGGGAAAACTCTCTCCCAACTGCCAAAATAAATACAAAACAGATGATGGGTGGAACCAGTTTCCACTTGAAGAAGCCACACAAAACTACCCTGTAACAGTCTCTTGTCTGCTTTGGCATCAGGCACAAGGTCAATAGACAGAGTAGTGGCAGGGAAAAAAATTCCGTAGGAGCCGTTTTGTTTAGTGTTTTAATGGCATTTGAAGGGACATGCTCTTCCCACAGGGTAGAATCGTGGGAAAAGACTTCCTAAAAGGCCAGTGGTGACCAGTCACTGGAGTGACACCTACAGCACTTACACTCCCACATGCTCAGCAAAGAACCTGACACAGTAGACTCTTCCAGTGATTCTCCATTGGTTCCAAGTCCCAAACCCTTAGTGAAGAAATGAAGCACTCGCTCCCATTACCACATGGGCCGCTCTCCCTTTTCCCAATCACCTCCTAGTACTTGCTAGCAGGAGCTGTCGGCCATGACTGCACCACCATGCCCAACATGCTACCCCACTTGTCATTTCTACTTCCATGTGATAGCCTCCTACTTTGCATGACCTCCCTTCCTCTCCAATACCCACCCCCTTTCTACTACATGGCAACGCCAAAGTCCACCTTCAACCTTCCTCCTGTCCCCAGCCAGTATTCACTGCTCCAGCTTTACTTTCTATCTTGTTTCATGCCAGCATTTAATCATCCTGATGGGCACTGATAACTGTTTCTTGAGGACCCTAAGACATATGCCCAATAAATCTGGAACAGGTCTGCCCCCAGTCAAGGAGAACCCTGCAGAACTAATAAAATTACAGATCCACTTGCTTTATGACCCAGCAATCCCACACCTAGGAATCCTACAGCTCTACCCAAACCCATCTGAAGTGACCTATGGACAAGGTTGCTCATCATTTACCATTTGCAAAAGCTAAAGACTGGTAGGCACACAAGTGTCCGTCAATAGCAGATTCATTAAATAAACAATATTACATCCATGTAAATCGCATGCAAATATTTTTAAATGAAGCTCTCTAGATATTGATTGATATATAAAGCACTCAAGAATATATTGTTACAATAGCCAAGAGTTGGAAGCAACCTAGGTGCCCATCAGCAAATGAATGGATCAAAAAATTGTGGTACATATACACAATGAAATTCTATGCAGCAGAGAGAAAGAAGGAGCTACTACCCTTTGCAACAACATGGATGGAACTGGAAAGCATTATGCTGAGTGAAATAGGCCAGGTGCTGAAAGACAAATACCATACGATCTCACCTTTGACAGGAAGCTAAACAACAAAACAAACAAGCAAACAGAATAAAAACAAAGACACTGAAATAGAGAACAAGTGGGCAGTGACCAGAGGGGAGAGGGAAGGGAATTTAAGGGGAAAAATGGGGAGGGATTTTGAGGAACAAGTATGAAAGACACAGGGATGAGGACTGGGGGGGAGAAATGGGAGGGAGGTGGGGAGGTGGGGAGACGGGGTGGGGGGGGCTGGGATGGGAGAAATAGACAAAAAAAATGTACCTGAAAAATAATTAAATAAAAAAATTTTTTAAATTAAAAAAATATATATTATTAAATTTACTTTATAGCAAGTCGATGTTGCTCAGCAGACAGGTCTTCAGCTCTTCGACCGAGTCCTGTGAAAAAGAAAAAATTTAGGAGTGTTTGAAGTAGATAATTAATCTTAAAAGAGGCTTGTAAAACTCATTTGAAAAAAATGATTAATTTCTGTTTCATAAATCAAAAGTTTTCAACTTTTAAAAAAATACCCTGGATCAAAGCACTACCCATAGGTCCACATGTCAGGAAGAGTGTCTATAGGTTCTATGAAGAGGGTGGAATTCAGGGGATACTCCAAGTTAATTCCCACAGCATGACATGGATCCGAGAACCCTCCAGGTCTCCCGCACTGCTTAGCACGCTCTGTGTGTCTTTGTTGCTACCTGAGAGAAATAAGTCTGCCTTTGCAGCCTCCACCAACATAAATGCCTCTCTGATATGCTGAATGAAAACACCCGGTACAAGCTGAGAGCATGGGTGTGCACTGTAATGGGGAAAGCAATAGGGACTTTCCTCTTCCAAACACAGGAAAGGCAACTCCGAATGCAAGGGGAAACACGAAAGAATTGCCAGGAGGTGTTACTTCATTTAAAACACCCATGCCAGAAAAACTCCCGAACAAATTACACTTGTGCTTCTCACAAGATGTGTATGTTAAGTTAGTGTCAAGGAAACTGAAGTGTCATCTCATAAGCATTAGAAGTCAACTTTACAACCATAACATCAGTTAAGACCGATATGGTTGCTAAACACTAAAGTCAACCCAAAAATATGCCTAAGAGAAGGCAGAGTGGTTCCAGAATTTACTTCTTCCCACACACAAGAAAAAAAGACACAGGCAAACATTTTGCAGCACGTAAGGGATGTTCCAGAAAATAGGGTAAACTGTGAACGCTTACAAAAGTAAATCTAGGCAAAGAGTCTATGTAAAAAAACAAACCAACCAAAAATAATTTTTAAAAAAACCCACAAGACGCAATGTTTGAAAAATCACACTCATGTTTCTAAGACCTCATCAAATATATCTCTGGCAATCCCAGAAATTAAATTGATTTTAACTACTGATTTATGTTGCTGATGTCAGTCTATCAACACCTCCAAGTAGCTTTTCAGGGACAAAAACGCTGACCAACTCACCCCAGTTCACCCAGGACTGTGTTGCTTTAGGCACTAAAAGTCTTGTATCCTGGGAAAACCTCTCGGTCCTGGGCAAACCGGGACAGTTGGTCACTCTAGAAAGATGCCATCCTGGGTATAAAATTACCCAGTTCTCTACAGAATGACTAAGTCACCAGTATGAACTAGAAACACACAGTGTCGATGTGAAAATAAATTAGTTTCCAAGCTTCAAGGAGGAACAAGAAGCCTCGCGGAGACTGGACATCCCCTCAACACGCAGCGCAGGTCCAGCGGTCAGGAAGCGTTCGCTGGAGGATAAGTCCTCAGATACATGTTTGCTACTTGCCCCTGACATTGATTAGGCCCATCTCCCTTCAGATCAAAGTGCTGTTCTCCTCCCTTGGGACCCGGTTTGAACAGTGAAAATTGCATTTTCTGGCCATTTCCAGAAAGAATCTGAGTAAAGAAAATGTTCAGTTTCTATACAAACAGAAGACTCTGTCTTCTCTCAGCTTTTTAGAGAGTCGGGCTCATTTTATTAGATAATTTTCAAGAAAAAAAGAACTCTAACAATAAAAAGTGGTTAACTAGCCAGTGCTATCTAATCTTATATTACCTCATGGCCATCTCAGAGATCAAACCATAAAAACATGATGCCATTTTTTCTTAACAGATTTGGAAATGAAGAGCAGAGAGTACCGTAAGTTAAGTTCAATTTAAAACATTGTAAAAGTAAACAGAAGACCCACTGTTCTTAATGCAAATATTTCAGCAAATTTAGGCTACCAATTCAGGCGAGAAATGGTAAATAACAGCTGGGAAGGTTAAAAAGCTATGAGTAAAGAGGCCTACAAATTTTTGACAAGATATAGCAAGATCCGCCAGCACTTGTATAAACTTGGGGCTGTGTACAGAGTATAAAAAATGTCAGGGGGACTTCAGAGAGAAAAGGAGGGCTGTTTTTCTTACCATCGTGAACTTGGAATGCCAAGGTTGTGATCTTCTGAGTGACGATCATGAGGGGCCTGAAAGGGAGACAGAGAATAATCGAGATGAGCAAAAGTACCCCCGGAACTTTTATTCTCTTTCTCTGTGTGGTGGTTTTTCATCTTCAAGATGGGTAAATAAAATACAAAGGCACTGAATTCAAAATCAACGCTTTTTATTTCCCTTCTGAATCACTGTACATACGTAGCTCTAACGATGCTGAACAAGACCACACCAGGAAGTCCCTCTCGAGCTATTTATTACTCAAAGTGTGAGTTCCATGCCCAGTGCCGCCAGCATGGCCTGCAGCTTGCTGGAAATGCAGAATCTCACACTCTATTCCAGAACCAGAAAATGAGAATCTGCATTTTAACAAGATCTCCAGGGCATTCGAATGCACATTCGAGTGTAAGCAGCACTGGTTCAGGACATATAATCCAGTGCCGTGGTCCCCCCTGGATGAGACGTAGTTTGGCTTCTCCATTCTAACACATTCTGATATGCTTTATTCTATGAAAGGCTATCCTTCCGTGCACATGTAGTAAAAGATGCATTGGTAAAATGGAGCTACCTATGAATAAACCATTTTGTAACAAAAAGTAACACCAATCTCAACTTGAAAACAGCCATAAAATATAAACTTGCCCAAGAAGTGCCACCCATGTCAACTAGGGTGCCAAGATGATTCAATGGAGGAAAGAATAGATGTTTCGACTAATGGTAGTGGCACAACTAGACATCCACATATAAAGAATACAGAAAGTAATTGAACTGGATCAAGAGATTTACACAGATGTAAATCTTCATGGCCTTAGATTTGGCAATAATTTCTTAATGAAAGAAAAATAATACATTAAAGGATATTGTTAAAACTTAAAATCATTGTACCACAAAGAATGTGCCCATCAAGTAAGTGAAAAGGCATTTCACAGAAGGCATGAAAATATGTGTAAATCAGAGAACCAACCATATGGGAAAACATACTTGCAAACAATATCTCAGACAAGGGTTTAATCTCCAAAATATATAAAGAACTCACAAGACTCCACTCTAGGAAGACAACCCAATTAAAAAAATGGGCAAAGGACTTGAACAGACACTTCTCCAAGGAGGATATACAGAGGGTCCAGAGACACATGAAAAGATGCTCAGTATCAATAGCTATCAGAGAGATGCAAATTAAAATCATGAGATACCACTTCACACTAGTCAGAATGGCCATCATAAACAAACCAAAAAACAACAAGTGTTAAAAATGATGTGGAGAAAAGGGATCCCTAGTGCACTGTTGGTACGATTGCAGACTGGTACAACCACTATGGAAAACAGTATGGAATTTTTCTCAGAAAACTAAAAATGGATCTGCTTTTTGATCCAGCAATTCCACTGCTAGGATTATATCCTAAGAATCCTAAAACACCAATTTAAAAAAACCTATGCACCCCAATGTTCATAGCAGCACAATTTACAATAGCCAAGTGCTGGAAGCAACCCAAATGCCCATCAGTAAATGAAAGGATCCAAAAACAATGGTACATTTACACAATGGAATTCTATGCAGCAGAAAGAAAGGAGGAGCTCCTACCCTTTGTGACCCCATGAATGGAACTGGAAAGCATTATGCTAAGTGAAATAAGCCAGGCAGTGAAAGACAAATATCATATGATCTCACCTTTAACAGGAACCTAATCAACAAAACAAACAAACAAGCAAGCAAAATATAACCAAAGACACTGAAACTGAGAACAGGCTGACAGTGAGCAGAGGGGAGAGGGGAGGAAATTTCAGGGGAAATGGGTGAACGGTTTGCAGAAACAAGTATAAAGGACACATGGACAATAACAAGGCGGGGTTGGAAACAGGAGGGAGGTGGGGAGGGCTGTGGGGGTGGGCTGGGATGAAAGTAAAAGGCAAAAAACTGTACTTGAACAAAAATTAAAAATTAAAAAAATAAAAACAAAGAAAAATGTGTAAATCATATATTTGTAAGGTTGATACTAGACTGTATAAAGAACTCCTACAACTCAGTGATTAAAAGACAACCCCTCCAGCTCCGGGATGCAAGGGGCAGCCGTCAGAGTGAATAACCAGTGCCCTAATTACTGAGCAAGGGACAGCTGCAGGTTACTGCAGCGTCTTATCCACAGTAAATCTGAGCAAGGTATTTGAGGACCATGGTCTTGTTTGAACGTGGGTTTGGGCATTTGACCTCTTTGTCTCTCCCTTACCTGGTTAACTGAGACTGTATATGTGTATCAAAAACTTATGTGATCACTTTCTGACTAAGAATGACAATTCTAGAATAAAATCAGAAATGTATGTTTTTCATTTACTGGAATAACTCAAATGTCAAATAACGAGTTACAAAAATAAATAATGGTACAGATATGGAATACTCTGCAGTCATTAAAAATACTTTTGTAAAAAATACTTATAAGTAGAACAATCTTTACAGTGTGAGGAAGCAGGCTATAAACAGTGTACAATATCATTTTTGTAAATAAAAACGTACATACATGCATGGAAAAAGTATTAAGACATACATTAAAATATTAACATTGTTTTTTGGGGGAAAAAAAAACGATGACTGAATTTAAAAATGGCCCAAGGATCTGAATGGACATTCCTCCCCAAAAGATACACAAATGGTGAATGAGTACATGAAAAGATTTTCAACAATAATTAATTATGAGAGAAATACAAATCCAAACCACAATGAAATACCGCTTCTCAAGCAATGGAAGGACTAGCACTGAAAAGACAGCTAAAAGTGCCGGCCAGGAGCCGGGGAGCTGGAACACCAGCGCGCTGCTGGTGGGGATGCTGAGTGCCTCGGGGACCTGAAGGGCTGCTTCAGAAACAGGGGCAGTATCTCGAACGGCTAAACACGGAGTTACTGTAGGGCCGAGCAACTCCACTCCTTGAGCCGTGAGATTTTGTCTTTCATGGGACTTGAAAATGTTCTAAAAGCAGACACAAAAGAACACGTACTGTATGATTAAATGATATATATGAAATGTCTAGAACAGGCAGATCCACAGAGAAATGAAGTAGACTGCTGGGTGCCTAGGCTGGGCAAACTGAGAGGAAATAGGGGTGACGGGGAATACATTCAGGTTTCTTTCGAGAGTCATGAAAGTGTGAAATTAACTGTCATGAATGGCTGTACTCTGTAAATTTACCTTATGAATATGTTAAAAAGCCGCTGAACTGTATACTTTAAATGGGTGAATTGTATGGCGTGTCAACTGTCTATCTCAACCAGGTTGCAATTTTTTAAATGCACCCGTTTTTCCAATCATCTACCCTAGTTTGGTACTTTTAGTAGCTCTATTCTTGCTCAACAGTACAAGACAAAATTCCACTGCTCTAACTACCATACTTTCTTTCAAACCTTCTTTGTTTATGCTGGCTTTCTGATATCCATTCTTACGGCTTCTCACTGCAACTGCTGTCTCTGACCCTACAGACCGATGCTCGTCTATACGGATTGCTGAGGCTCTGATGAGTATCCAGCGGCAAGGATTTCCAACCTTTCCCATCCCATGGCACACACAAACTACCAAAATTCTGTGGCACACCAAAAAAACACACTTTCCGCTGATCTGGAAAAAAATCAGGTATAATTTTGATTCAGTCACACCAGATAGCTTCGTTGTGTTTGTTGCTGTCATTTTTTAATTTGACAACCTAAGGGGGAAAAGGTCAGTGCCCCTGACTGAACAGTCAGGTTTTGTATGTTTAAAATTTTTTGTGACACACCATTGTGCAGTGGCACACCAGGTGAACATCACTGTCCTTCAGCAGTGTCCCTTGCACAACCCTGGGATGTCCGCAGACTCCGTGCCCTGAGCCCAGGCCAGGCTCAGATGTGTGGGACGATGGACTTGAACACAAACTACTTTTAGGCCAAGTTCGATGTGTGTCAACTGCACTTAGCCACTTCTCTGTGAGTCCATTTCTTCTTTAATTCTCCTCATTCTAATTCCCACTTTCCATCTCTTTAACATAATAAGCATGTAATATTTTCAACTACTGTATTAATATAAACTAGCAAGATAAAGCATTTCGAAAAAGTACCAACGAATACACTTTCAAATGTTAACACCTACACCCAACTTTATATCTGACTTGCAAAAGCATGGTGGCCAGTAGCCAGTGGCCACTGCTTGAAACAAGATTCTGACTGTTGTGTATGAGGCTAAGAGAAGAGTGAGTCTGGCTGCAGAGGGGAGGACACCTGTGCTCTGCTGGGCCTGGGGGGAAGGTGTGGCAGCCAGCAGCCGGCGACGTGCTCATGTTAAGGCAGCAAGATGTGCTCACAGCTAACACTGCTGCAACCACGCTCTTTTATAATGAAAAAAAACAAAAAAACCTCTACTATTCCGGAATGCTGACGTTTGGGTCCACAAGTAGAGGCTAGATGGAAGGTTTCTACCAGACCAAATTTGTCTTAAAGACCATTATCATCTCGCAGCTCACTGCCTGATATTCAACAAAGCCTCTGACCCACAGCATACAACAGATGCTGAGAGCTGTCTTTCTTGGAAGAGATTCACTGTGAGCATCACACCCAAGGTAGTGTCATAAATGATGTTCAGAGCAGTACGGTTTTCTTTCCAAAGCCTTTGTGTCATCTTTTTTACCTGTAAGATTGAAAGTCCTAGGAATCTCTAATAGGAACTAATAAGCTCCCTGTTTTCCTTACACAAATCCCAATGAAATTTTTTAAAATTTGAGACACACTCTCTAGTGACTACGCAATTTGCAAATCAAGTAAATTCCTACATTTGATTTAATTCAAGTGAAAATATATATTTATATTTAATATATATATATATATTTAAGGGTCTAAAAATAGATATATCAACACAGACAGTAAAAACATCATGGAATTAGCCTACCTTTCTGTCTCTATAGAAATACGGCATTTGTCTTGCTCTATCTAGGGTTAGATTTGATGTATTCCATAGTTACGCACACACTGAGATAACTAAGAATGACTAAGAATTACTCAATATGAAATCTGCATTAGTAG